TAGTCATTAGTGAAGAACAGATCCGGCTGTACCCTGCAAAAGAAACATCGTGAGGAAGTAAAATTCGGTGAAAAGCAAACTTCTAAAGAAAATGGACCCTGGGAAGGAAGGCACATTGAAATTATGTAGAAAACAATTTCCTAATGGGTAAAGGTTTAAACGTGGAAAAACAACTTTGGGGAAAACAGCTCAATGACGTAAATAGTTACCTGCCCAGTATAAACAGGACAGGCTGTAAAAATAAAGGGAGACATTAATTCTTGAAAAGCGCTTCTTTGTCTCCGCGTTCTTTCCTCGCGGACTCCGTCTCCACCTAAGGGAAACCCTGGACTTGTGGGAGTCGGTCTCCCGCACAGAAATGGGAGGGAAGTGGTCACTTTTTTAAAAAATAGAAGAAATTAAAACATGTTGTTATGCTGATGGGAATAATACAGAGGGGAGAATGATGGAGAAAAAGGGGAGAATCGCTGGGGGCAATATCTTAGAAAAGATGAGAGGATAGGATTCAGTGCACAATTGTAGGAATCGGTCTTAGTAGGCAGTTTATACATAGTTACAGGAGGGAGGCAAGTAGGTGGGTAAATGAAGTGATGTGACCTTGTGATCCCCACGCCTTTCTTAGTGAAATAGGAAGCAAAGCCATTAGCCAGGGGTAAGGATGGGGAAGGAAGTGATAGGGGTTTGATGAGATGAGAAATATGACATAATTCTTTAGGATGTTGGGCAGGGCCAGCTGAGGGGTATTTGAAACCAAGTTGAGAAGAATGTGGAGAGAGCTACATTTTGCCTTGTGAGATTAGTCCCTCTAGGCGCTCGGTAGTCTGCGTCCGTTTCCTCGGAGACAGGGGCCCGAGGAAGTGTCCAGTCTCGTTAAGTTTGAGTCGCCGGGGTTACCGCGCGATCCACTCGGAGACAAGGAAGTTGGAGAAGCCGAATAAGTAGGCATCCCAAGAGATCAGGGCCCAACGGACTCACGACTCTTCTTAACATTTTCCCCAATGCCACGCGTCTTTCCGAAGTAGGTAAAAGGCGCATCGCGGGGTGGTGGGTGCGCATGCATGCCCCCCGCCCCCCCCAAACCTCGCTGGCGTGTCCTCCCGCGGTCTCTGGACCCCGCCCTCTCCCCGCCCTCATCTCCCTAGCCCCGCCTCTCCCTTGCGCTCTCTGGGTTCTGGCTTGGATCGTGTTTCTAGTATGCTGTGGTTTTAGGTTCTAGACCCCAGGCCTGTTTCATGTTTGCTGCTTGCAGCCTCAGGGGTTGGGAATGATAGAAGTTCTTTCCTGCTCTAACTCTTTCCAGATCCAGCCACTCTGGGAGTCACTCCACAATGCCCAAGTCCCAGATTACGGTGAGTACGGTGAGTACGGGTGGGCTAGGGCGGGGACAGGGGCCTTCCTAATCCTGGGACTGCAGTCCGTCTGCCTAACGCCCC